ACTGGATCTTTGATAAAGAAAGAATTCAAACATACCTTTCTTGATTGACATAAAATAATACTACCCCACTTCTTTCCTTGAAGACTGTAGAGGATCTATATATACTGAATTAGAGATATACAATTAACTAAATGCATATGACATTTGATCATTAAATCCTGTCTTATCTGCGAAACAATGAACAGGGTTTCATGTTCTTCTAAAATGCTATTCTATTTAAAGTCACTAGACCTGTTTAAATAGAAAAAAGATCCTTCCTCTTCTGTGATCTTATGGGAAAAAGGCCTCTCACATGCTATTTGTCACTTCTTAATGAGAAGCCCAATCTTTTCTTTTTAAGACAAAGTCCAGCATTCTGAATATCCTTAACAAGGTGATACCCTGGAGAGAGCTCTGGGATTAGTTAGGGGACTATGGTTCTAGACTTTTTTTGTGCTGATTGCTGATTATAAAATTGGTGGGAAGTAGTTTTACATAACTTAGCTCTAGTTTCTTCAACTGAAACATAATGATAATGGATGTGATAACTTCTAAAGTTGCTTAAAATTATTGATCTATGATCATAAAATCATAGGATTACTTAGGATACTAGAACTTATTGATTAATGGGGTCCTTGTAAGGAAATAGTTCTGTTAAAGGCAATTTTCCTGAAAAGGTGAGGTATGCACTTCAATAATAAAGGTTCAAATTCTCATTATGTTTGATTTTTTAGAAAAACAAACAAGGCTATCTTTAACCAAAACATTTACCCTCATCTGTAGCAGCTCATTGTATAGTACATAAATGAATATAATGTTTGTCTTTCACCTTTATAGGATGCACAAATGAATCTATAGTCTAGTGGATAAGAAGAGAGTTGTGATGAAAAAAGAACAATTATTTAATTCAATTGATTCAAATATATTTTAAAATATCAAATATATTTTTTTCCTATTAATCCAAAAATGGAAAAGGAAAGGTACAAAAAAAATCATAACAAAAAAGTCAGTCAAATAAAATGAATTCCTTATCTGCTGTGTAATATATGTATGTGTATGCATGTAAAGCTTAGCATAAAAACAAAACCAAAACAAACAAATAAAAAAAGCAAAAAAAGACAACTCTAATATCTTGGCACTGGGTCTCATGACTTCCTGGTAAATAGAGGGATAACAAATGGAAGTAGTGTCAGATTTTATGTTCTTGGGATCAAAGATCACTGCAGAGGGCAAATGCATCCTTGAAATTAAATGATACTTGCTCTTTGGAAGGAAAGCTATGACAAATCTGAACCACATATGAAAAAGCAGAGACATTCTCTTGGCAACAAAGATCTTTATAGTCAAAGTTATGTTTTTTTTCTAATTATTTGATATTGCTCCAATATTTCTCTTTTTCATGGATTTTTATTTTTAATTGGGTCATTCTAATTTTCAGAGTATTTAGTTCTTATATTAGATTTTGTACCATTTGTTTAAGATAGGGGTGAGGAGTCTGCCACCTCCAGGCCACATGTGGCCATCTAAGTCCTCAGGTGTGGTCCTTTGACTGAATATAAACTTCACAGAATAAATCCCCTTAATGAAAAGACTTTTTTCTGTAAAATTTGGACTCAGTCAAAAGGCCGCACATGAGGACCTAGAAGACATGAGTTTCCATTGCCATTCTTTCCTAGCTAATTCATTCTGTATCTCATTTCATTTCTTCTAGATACCTTTGTGATAATTGTGTAGGAGACATTTTTTTTTCTGAGTCTCTACATGGATATATTATAACATAACTCTTTTCTTTTGATTTTACCTTCTGAATATATATATATATATCAGTCCAATGTATTTCATCATAGCATTCCTTATTTCTTTAGTTTTCTCATCTAAGAATCCTCAGTGTCAGGGTTGTAAAGATATACTTGAGTCATGCTCTACTCCTTAACCCCTTCATAATGTATGAAGTCTTTCACTTATCCTGAAGGTGTTTACCAGATGTTGACCCTTCCTTCTAGGTTTTCCAGGGCTACTCTAAGTCTGGGCAATAGCTAGGGCCTGCTTCTTTCCTGTGGAAAAGCTGGTCTCATGCACAATTTTCAGCTTAGAAACTTTCCCACACCATTCTGCAAGACTGAGTTACTCTTCCGTTGCTAGTCACCTGCCACTGCACGTTGGGGTCACCTCAAGGTTGACTTTGCTTAGAATCTTTCCCTTGCCACTAGATTTATATTGGCTCCTCCAATTGAGCACAGCTGAACTCTGAGGCTATCCTGAACTCTACACATGATCTCTCCAAATGGTCTGGGACATATTTGTATCATGTCTTCTGGAGCAGTAGGTACCTCCAAAGTGCCTACTTCAGAGTTTCTGCCATACTTCAATTTTCTTTCATGCATCTCCAGTCTTAGTGGAAGAATCTACACCTGATTTACTTTTTAAATTTTTACCCTTCATGTGTGCTTATAAAATATCACTTCAGTTTTTGTGAGGTGCCTGAACTCCTATAAATCCTAAAATATTATCATCTTCCCACAATCCCTGTACCTGCTTTTTTTCAATTTGAAGAACATTTAATTTGGCTTGAAAAATGCTAGGCATATCAATTCTAAACATTTTTAATATATTTTGAGCCTGACTCAGAATCCTTTTCATTATTAGATTTTCATCCATGATCATGAAATTCAACTATCATTTAAAAGGTCTTGTTCAGCTGTTAAATTTCTAAATATTTGACTTTACAATGCAGTCTTTCTTATTGTCAACAGGAACAAGAAATTAAAAAAAAAACTGTGCTTCTAAAAAAATAAATTTCATGTCCAAAGCTTTATGAAATTTACAATGATTAATTCTCAGAGTATCACATGTCAGAATACTAGTCAACAGAAATCTTTGGATGTTTTCTCAAAGTTTAATAAGCATGATTCAGAAAAACAGAAGATTTCTTTATGAATATTTGCTATATACATATCGATAAGTTCAATTTAGACTTTTTACAATATTTTAGAATACCTATTGCAGTTTTTATGAAGATCTCTAAACTTAACTTCAATATTAATATGCTATTTTTGCATGGAATGAATCTTGAATTTTAAAGGATATTTTAGAATAGTGCAAAGGAGTTTAAAGGCTAGATATTTTTTTAAAGATATGACCAGCAATATATTTCTGTCATCTTTGGGCCTTAGTTAAACAATTTGAAGACTAATTTTGAAATTGAAATCAGGGTTAAGATTGTTGTTGGTTTTATGGATGGTGGTGGTGTTTGGTAATAGCAACTCAGAAAAATTATAATCTATGAATGTCCAAAGGAGTTAAACTTTGCATCATTTTAGGGCATTGGTCTTGAACAAAACCCTGAAACTGAAAGAAGTTTTTTAGAAATAATTTCATTAAATCAGTTGTGAAGACTGGAGAGCTGGAAAGAGTTGTACCTCCTTCTCAAGACTCTGTGGGTTAACCAAAAACATGACCTTGGTGGACCCAAAACAAGCCTTTGATGGGATCAAGCATTCCTTTCAGCAATCCTTAACTCCTTTAAAAAGTCTCTGTAGTCTAAATGACATACACTTTACCTTCTGGTAAAGAATACATAGCCACATGAAGCTAGGTTTGGACACTATTAATGAATAATAAAGTACCTCTGCCAATGGGCCAGAAGTATTGTGATCATTTAGAAAGAGAAGTGATGATGTCTAAGACATTTACCCTCCAACATCAAGAATAGATGAAGATAGACTAACCTTGCCACAGCCACAAATGCCACTTTGCTCCTCACTGAAGTGATAAAGAGCTAAAGCATGAGGATTGTGGATGTTTGAATATCTTATTTTTCTTGTTTCGTTGTAATTTACAAAGATGAACCAACTCTTTCTTGCATGTTTCTGGTTTCTGACCTTCAATAAAATTTATCTCCAATATAGTCTTCCCTGAATTAACTAATGTAGCTGTAAGCCTAAGACAACTCCAGCCACTTTTTCTTCCCCCATCATTAGGAGAACAGCATCTACATTTTAAATGTCTAGTTCCCAGAATGGAGACCCAGTATTAATATGCCTCAGTGTTATAACAGTATTATACATTTACTGGTCCAGTGCAGATGACATGTAGATAGTTTCACAAAGTCACATTGAATTCTTTGTCAAGTCATAGAATAAACACAGTAGACAGAAAAGAAAATCATGTTGACAAGAACCTCTTTGTTGTCTTTGTGGGTTGTATATGTTTTTTTTTTTTAATGAATGTATTTTTGGACTAAAAGTGTCACTGAAGTTTTATTTTGATAGTACAGTTAAGGAGGGGAAGTGCTAAGTTCTGAGGGAGATATATATTTTAGGCAAAACATGATCCCTGCAAAATAATCAACTTAAAAAAATTACAAATTGGCATAAATAAAGACATCAACTAATAGGAATAAAGGACCTACTCTGGACAAGGGAATATTTTAGATCTGGTAGATTAAAAGACAAAAATCAAATATTTTCTGCCCTCAAGGAGCTTACATTCTATAGGGGAGACACATGTACATGATAAGGACAAAACATCTCCTTAATCATTAAGGACAAGTTAAGTTAAGAACAAAAAACTTCCCTGGTAGGACAACATCTTATAAAGAGAAGAAAAGCTATTTGAGAAGACACTTGGGTCTGAGAATACCATGCAAGAAATACAAAGAATTATTTTTTTACGTTTAAATAATATATCTTGACATGTCATCTACACATTACACATAAATATTATTGGATCTGGTTCTGAAATATTGAGATAATTGCATTAGTTCATCAGATCAGTCCAGACTTATGACTGTTTATTTAGAACACTATTCAATACTCACTAATTTTGTTCCTTGGTGGTGCATAAGTATAATGAATATCATGTTGAAAAGAGAAAATTTATTCTTAAGATTTGATGTTATTACTTAGAAATAATACGTATTTTAGTCAGGGATAAGGAAATATACTGAAAGGGGATTTCTATAGAAACTGAAACTGTGAGAAAAAAGAAGACACCAGTCTTTATTTTCCCTTTTACCATATTCATTTAGATAAAATTTTCATCAATGCAGCAATGACATCCTTATTCCTTAGGCCATATATCAAAGGGTTAAACATTGGGGTCACAATGGTATAGAAAAGAGAGAGCACTTTGTCTATTCCTGGGGAGTGTGAGGACTTAGGTCTTAAATATGTTATGATAGCAGACCCAAAGAAGAAGGCCACAACAATTAGATGGGATGAACAAGAGGAAAAGGCTTTAGATCTCCTCATGCCCACTGGCAGATTCAGAATGGTAGCAATGATATTGACATAGAACCAAATTATCAAAAGAAAGGGTACCAAAACAAACAGCATAGCCAAAGCATAAACAAATAATTCATTTATAGAGGTGCCCCCACAGGCCAACTTCAGTAAGGGAAAAATGTCACAGAAAACATGATTAATTTTATTAGAATCACAAAAAGACAGAGAGAAAACCAGGTATGTCTGCCCTATCTGCACTGGGCACCCACATATCCAGGACCCAACCACCAGCTGGATACACACTTTTTGATTCATTATGACAGGATAGTGGAGAGACTTACAAATGGCCACATAGCGGTCATATGCCATCACAGCTAAGAGGAAGCACTCAGCACCTCCCAGAATAAGAAAAACACAAAGTTGTACAACACAGGCCATGAAAGAAATATTTCTGTTTTGAGTCCAAATGTTCATCATCATTTTGGGAAGGATAATTGATGTGTAACAGGTTTCCAAAAAGGAAAAATTTCCTAGGAAAAAATACATGGGTGTATGGAGAGCTGGATCAGTCTTGGTTATTACAATGATGAGTCCACTTCTCATTAGAATACTCAAGTAGATGACTGTGAAAATCCCAAACAGAAAGACTTGGAGGTTTGGTAGCTCATAAAATCCCGGGATAACAAATTCTTCCACCATAGTGAGATTTTCTTCTCCCATTTTCTCTTTCTTTTCTCCCATTCTTTCTTTCTTTTCTTTTCTTTTTTGACAAAGTGAATTCAGATAGGATGGGTTACTTCACTCCTCTGGAACTTAAAACCATCCTCTAAAATGGATGTTTTGAATTAGATATATCAAGTTACTTTGTTTTCTAATATCTGTTCTAGATTATAATGTATTTTCAATTCAAGAATTCAATAAACTTTTATTATATTAAGATACTATGCATCTCAATAAAACTATTTTAAAGTTTCTATGAACAATGAATTAAAATTCCATTACTGCTATTTTATTTTATGTGTTTTAAGGACCCAGCACTGAAATTAAAAAAAAAAAAAACACAAGCAAAGAAAGAAACTCAATACTTGGGAATATTTCATATTAAAAGTATAGCTAGAAATTGACTTCTGTTGAAAACTGAGAAATAATAATATATGGGAAAAATAGTACTCAAAATATCATAATTTAATATGCTGTTCTACATTTCAAGAACATAGAAAACATTTTTTTTTAGTACTTGAAGGGACCTGCAATGTCTTATCTACTAACTCACATATGATATAGATAAAGGAAGTGAGGCTTAGAGACCATAAGTGAATCCAATATTTCTAACACCAGATACCATTCTCATTTCATTATACCATTCTTTTCATTGTTATTAAAACTCTCAAGAAAAGAAGTTATTTATTCCTTATGGGATTGGAGAAATGCAAATGAATTTACTTTTGTTAAACATGATTCACTTCTAATGTACACATAACTATTTTCATATTTTAACATTCTATCTTTTCTCCCCCTTGATCAACATAGTCAAGTCTCCTCTCCATTAATCAAAAAACTACTCTATTTTTAATAAGTCAAAGTTCAAATGATTACTTTTCTTAACCATTCTCTTTAATCATTCAAATCCATAACAATCTCTAGTTACATGAATTTTTAGAGCATTGGTTGTACCATCTGCTTAATATTGAAGTCTTATTTATAGCTGTCTTTTTATTATAATATAGATATCTGATAGAAAAATTTTCTATATCTCTGTTTACTTTGCATATAAGCACTCAAAATTTTATTTATTATTACTCCATAGTACCCGTTGTCTTGGTAGTAAAATTTTAGGCTTCTAGAAGAGACCATCTACTACAAAATAACTTCCTGACAGCCTTATCTCTCTGATTCCACCATTAAAAATCCTTCTTTGGGTTTAGGATTTGTCTCCTTTTGATTTACCTTGTAATTGACAAGGAAGGATAGATCCAAGTGGATTATCCTTGAATAAAGTGTTATAAGAAGTGACAGAAAGAAACATGTCACAGGTGGTGCAGGTGGGAGATGGATTAAGGTCAATGGAGGGAGGATACATTGTGTGATAAGATGAAAAGAGCACTGCAAATGCAAATAAGGGGATATAATAAACATAGCACCAACATTAATAATCTATAAAAATTTGGTCTGCTCCCTAATGTAATTTCTTGATAGTTAATCTCATCTGTTGATGGATCTCATTACATTCAGTATGCATTTTTGATTTTTAAATAATTTTCCTGCTTTATTTCCTGCTTTACATTTATTATACTCATTTTAAATTATCAGAACTTCTATAGTGGAAAAAGTTTTGAACACTGTGTTGCAAGGAACACTGGATTGACCATTAAGGGACATAATTGAAATGTATTGCTGTCACTTAGAAGCAGAATGATATGAGAATTTAACTTCACTATAGCTTAGGCTCTTCATAAAAAATGGGGAAAATAACATTTGGATTGACTGACTGTGCTGAAATGAGACACTGAAAAATACTTTTGAAATATAAATTAAAAATATCCCAAAGAGTCATGTTTTAATCCCCAACTAAAATCTTATACATCAATCCTTAATTCTGAGGCATCATTTTCGCCTTTATAAAATGAAAAATTTTCACTAGATGGTCTATGAAATCTCTTACTGAAGATGACACACTATGTCACATTTCCTAAGGTCCTTTCTAGCTCTGATCTTGTTGTCTAAGCTTCCAACATTCTCTAACAATCTAGGAAATACTTGTTGAGTTAAGGTAGAAAAAAAAAACTCTCTAATTCAATTTAGAAAGTAGCCAAAAGAATGAGGACACTGGTATTCCTCTCCCTGCTCTTCCCTCATAAAAATAAATAAATAAATAAATAAAAACACCTGCTTAATACTTTGTGATCCTTTGCCTAAATTTGAGTTAATAATTATCATAAAATTCAAATCCCTTATGACATATAGACTTCAGAGAAACTTTTTCAACAAAAAAATGGAATAATCAGATTAATCACTGCCATATCTAACAAAGGACCTCTTTAGTATAACTGTTGGGTTTGACCCAAGATTCCCATTTCTCTCTTTTTCCATGATAAACATATACATACCAAGGAGAGTTGATGGCAATATTAAAAAACAATAAAATTACAAGGAACCTTTCTCTTTATTTTTAGAGTTTTCAAATATAAGTACATATTTGTTCTAAGCTCTACAGGTCAATGTCTCAAGGCTCTGCTTTCCCCAAAAGAAGTTAGTTAAATTTAGAATTGGATTGTGTTGATAAAAATGCACAAAATTACCAGGAAAATGTGGATCTCCTTCTCTTGACTCAGAAAAGTAATATGTTTGAATAAGGAAATTTGCATGTGTTTCCACAATAACTTTATACACTTTTTAAAATATATTGTCACTTGATTTCATATTTAAAAAAATGTTCCTGCCCTTTGATCTTTTCTATTATTTGCAACTTTTTCTATCACATGTGATTACTATGAATTCTTATAATAATTTTAGCATAAAAGTCCATTACATCACAAAGATATTCAACTTTCTCAAGTGTTCTCCTGGACATGACCCTGTATGGTGTGATTATGATTCAAAACTGAAAGCTCTAAATGCTGTCCAGCAAAGTTAGGTTTTGTAGGACCAAGTGCTTCCTTATCATGGTATCATATCTTTTTTTCATTCTCTTTGATGAATATCAATTTCTTAATAGGAACATAGATTTTAAAGCTTACCTCAAGGAGATGAGATAAAATGCAAGCCATAAATTTCATTGAGAAAAAAAGGAAGGAAAATAAGTTAAGCTTACCTTACTCAAGGAACATTAAATAATATTCATCTTTTTTTCTTCAATGAATATTTTTAAACTATATACACACTATACAATAATAGTTTGTATTTACATAATGCTTTTCATTTAGCTTAGCAAAGCATTTGAAATAGTCTCATTTAGTCCTCAGAATAGCCAAGTGAGAGAGATTTGAAAGTTATTATCATTCCCCTTTTATAGAAGGAACAGAGCCTCAAGTGGCTTACTTGATTATTCATGATTACGTAGCTAATATCAAATAGTAAATTGAAGGTGAGATTACTCTTTATTCCCATTCCATAAGTCATTCCGCTACGTTTTGCTGCTTTTCAATTAAGCATTAAAAGCTACAGTCTCCCACCCCAAACCATGCTAATCAGACTTCTCTCCCTTCTAAGAACGCTTCTGTGTTTTGAAAGGAATTAGAGATAATTAAATAGACAGTATTCTACTCTCTAGACTTTTGGGGTACTTTTCTCCCAGGCCACTTTTCAAATTTTAATTAGAGACAAAGTCTTCTGACTGTAAGTCCAGTGCTCTAAATATTGTTAATGGGGATATGAATCATAATAAAAAGAGTCAAGTTTTGAGTAAGAATGCATCATTACCATCCTGGACACTGTTACTTTCTAATTGCTTCATATTTGGTAAATAATTACATCTACATCAGTCTCAGTTTCCTCATTTGCAAAATGAGGACAGTTCTGGCTGAACTTGTGCCACTGATTTGTGGTAAGATGTGCACTTGGTGAATAAAAAAGTACATCAATTTTATTTTTTTTTTGTTTTTGCTAGGCAATGGGGTTAAGTGACTTTTCCAGGGTCACACAGCTAGTACGTGTCAAGTGCCCGATTTCAGACCAGATCTAGATTATAATGTATTTCCAATCCAAGAATTCAATAAACATTTATTAGATTAACATATTGTGCATTCCAATAAAACTATTTTAAAGTTTCTATGAACAATGCATTAAAATTCCATTATTGTTATTTTATTTTATGTGTTTTAAGGACCCAGCTCTGAAATGAAAATCAAACAAACAAAGAAACTCAATACTTTGGAACATTTCATATTAAAAGTGGCGCTAAAAATTGGCTTCTGTTGAAAACTGAGTCCTCTTGACTCCAGATTGGTGCTCTATCCATTGTACCACCTATCTGTCTCTAAAGTACATCAATCTTAATTCAGATTTGTGAGAATAATGATATTCAATATTTAACATCAATTCTTTGGAACGATAAACCCATTTTTCTTGAACCAATCTTTTCTCCTTTTCCCCCTCCCTTTGTATAATCTCCCTTTTGAAAAGAAACTGGATACAATATTACAAGAAATTATTAAGAAAAATTGTACTGATTTCTAGAACAAAAATATAGAGTAGAAATACAAAGAACCCAGTGATCATCACCTTCAAGAGATTCTAGGAAGAAAACAAAGGAATGTCATAGCAAAGGTTCAAAATTCCCAGATTAAAGAGAAAATATGGCAGATAAAAAAGCAAATACTGCAGAAAATACACTAAAAGATCATAGGTCTTGGTATATTATATTTCAAAAAGCAAAAGAGTTGGGGTTGCCTCCAAAAATAACTTATCCAGCAAAGTTGAGTATAATCCTAAATGAAAAAAAAAAGGTTATTTGACAAACTGAAGGACTTTCAGGTATTTGTAACAAAAAGACCAGAACTCAATGGAAAATTTGATATAAAAGATCCAGTAAAAATATAAAGAAAACATTAATTCTAATTATAAAGCACTAGTTAAGGTAAAACTGTTAACTTATTACATATATATATATATTCATATATATATATGAAAATGTCATTACTCTTAAAACTTTCAGTACTGAGGTAGTTTGAAAGAAAGGTTAGGGCTGATCTGTGTATGATGTAGTGCTTCTTTAAAAAATGGGTAGGAAAAGGTAAAAAGGAGCAAATATCTCATTAAAACAGGGAGTGAAAGGAAGAACTAATGCACAGTAAGTTGGTGAGAGTGGAGTGCTGTTAATATTGGAAACTTACTCTCATCTGAGTTGAAAAGTAAGCAACATATACATCTGAAGAGGTTGAAAAGTTTTCTGAACTTCTAGAAAGGTGAGAGAACTAGAGGATAGGGTTGGGTACAGACTTTTAGAAGGATGAGGTGTGTAAAATAAGAAATAAGAGGGTAAGGGGAGAGATGAGATAACAGGGATAGGGTGAAAGAGAGGCTGAGAAGGGAAAGAGTAAGTAAAAATAATTGGGCAAAAGTCACTGTCTTGCACCATTAACCAGGGTGAGGTCAGGGTGGGTGCATGATCTAGATATAGAGAGAAATTTTGATTACAGGAAATTAGAAAGATTTTTTTTTTCTGCAAATGGAACAGATATGGCTGGGATCAGAGAAAGGACTGAGGATTGATAGGGAATTTTTTGCGAAGTTTCATCAGAAAGGGGTTTAGTGTCTAAAATGTATGAAGAAATTTGTCAGGAGTGCAGGTTAATGGGTGGTCAGGGTTGTAGGCAGGCAGTTTTCCTAAAGAAAATTGGGATGATTTGTGACCATGTGGGGAGAAGCTCTAGATCATTTTGATTGGAAAGATGCAGATTGAAGCAGCCTTGGGATATCATTTCTCACCTGCCAGTTTGACTAGAATGATAGAAGGTGAAAGTGACAAATATTGGAGGGGATAAGGAAACATTGGGACACTAATTAATTGCTGGTGGAATTGTGAAATGATCCAGTCATTTTGAGGAATAGTCTGGAATTATGCCCAGACTTATTAAACTACTTATGCCCTTTGACTCAGCAATACTACTGCTTAATCTAGTTCTGAAGATAACTAGAGAAAGTGGAAAAGAGTCTGTATGTCTTAGAATGTTTGTAGTAGGTTTCTTTGTGGTGGCAAAGAACTGGAAATTTCAGGAACATCCATAGATTGAGGAGTGGCTGAATAGATTGTGGTGTGTGATTGTGGTAGAGTACAGCTGTGCTGTGTGAAGTGATGAGCTCATTGATTTGGGAGAGACATGGACAGACTGTCATGACATAATGAACAGTATAATGAGTAGAATCAAGAGAACATTGTACATAACAGCAATATTGTTTTAAACAGGATTTTGAATTAATAAGTTATTTAGACTATTTATAAATGCCCAAATTAACTATAAAAGACATATGAAAAAGCTGCTATCTGCATACAGAGAAAGAACCAATAAATAGGAGTATGTATAGAATAGTTTTACACACACAAGCACACATACACACACACATGCTTATTTGGGTCTAATGGTAGCCATTTCTAGTGTGTGGGGCGCAGAGAAAGAAAAAAAAGAAAGTTGCATGATCATTTTGTTGTATATTTAAAAGGAATAGGAAGTTGTGCAAAGTAGATTTGAAGTTCCATGTGCAATCATCTTTTTTATTATACCATGTTATGGAAATGCTTGTTTGATTCCACACATTAAAAATTAAATAAAAAAGAACATGTAGCATGATTCTTGCCCTAAATAAAGAAGTTTCTTAAATTCTTTAGACTGACAACTCCAAATGCATTTATCACAGTCTTACACTTATTAGATCAACATCAGAGAAATGGATTAATCATAGTATGACATGGAGTTTTATTTCATTTAGATTATTGCTTGTGCAACTTTTGGCAAGCCACCTTTCTTTTTGTGACCTCAGATTGTCTGACTGTGAATTGAAGAAGATGGATTAGCTCACTACAGTTGGGGTTTCGTGGTGTGTTGTTGGAGTCATCTCAAAAGAATTCAGACTCAGACCAGCTCTAAACCAAGCAAAGGCAATTATTGAGGGTTATATCCTCCAGAGGACTGGGTTCCCTAAAGGAACCAGCAATTTCAGGAAAACAAGACAGGCAGTTTTATAGTGTATTATAACACTATAGAAATATTATAGTGTATTGTATATTATAATATAATATATTATAATATAATATATTATAGTGTATTATAACACAACAGAAATTATGAATATTAAAAAGGTAGGAGGGATTTGTAAAGGGATTAGGTAATAGGAGAGGGGTCCCAGTGTTGGTGGAATTACACATACTATTACCCATAATGCATACATAAAAAACACATTGAGGAATATGTATGTATGATAATATTATAATAAGCCTCGCTATGTCAAAAGTCCACCTAAAGGACAGCTTTTGCTATTACTGTGCAGGTGTCTACTTAGGGAAATCCTTTGTATTGTTTTGGGGTCCACATTCTCCTCAGGCATCTTGGTGGTGATGCTTTATGATTGGCTGGCTATTGTGGTCATGTCTGAGATGAGATGAATGTAGTTGTGGTTGAATTCATTAAAATACCTATTGTTTCTTCAAGAACTATGGGGAATGGGTCTGGGGGCAGTGGCTAGGATTACATAACATGGACCCTCCTGCTATTGGGGCATGACTTCATAGACATACCTGCTATTCTAGTGAGGTAGTGAGGCATATATGAACAAGTTAGGATATTGAATAGGGGGGCAGTGGCTAGGTAGGGGCAGTGGGCTTGCTGTTCAGTGATCCTATGATTGAGTCTGGGGGTCTGTGGTGTGGTTAAAGCCAGGTTGTATGGTTATATCAGGACATTCCTGCTATTCAGTGAGGCCCATACAGAAGTTAGAATATTGGGGCTGGGAACAGACTTATTAGGACTCTGTCATTATCATGGTCCATTATGCCTCTAAATTCAAGTACTCAATAACCTGAACAGGCATAGAACAACCTGAACTTAGAAAATTATCGATAATAGGTGTTGTTTGCATAGTAACTAACAGTATTATTATCCTGTGCTCCTACTCATTGTGTCCCTGTAGGAGAGGTCTAGGTTACTGCTTCATGATTCTAGTACTATGCAAGGAGTCTAGTTATCAAAATTAATCTTATTTAATTAAATTATATCAAATTCCTCTATATACTTCATATTATGTTAGCATCATTCATTGTAAATGATACTAATGTATGGATACAACCTGAGGAGACAGAACTTCAGAGGTTTTTAAAAAAGGTTGATGAGCAAAGGTTTGAAATAATTGAAATGAAGAGGAGACTTGGACTGGAGAGATCTGATATATTTGGAAACATGGTTCATTTCTCTCTTTCTCTCTCTCTCTCTCCCTCTATCTCTATGTGAGTGTATTTGTGTATGTGTGTAAATATTCACAGACATATATATAAACATAATATATATTTATAATATATAAATAAATTATACAAACACACATATATATGGAGAAAGAAAAAGAGAGAGAGAGAGAGAGAGAGAGAGAGAGAAAGAGAGAGAGAGAGAGAGAGAGAGAGAGAGAGAGAGAGAGAGAATAGCCCTTGGCATGGAGAACATTGAGGAGATGAATACTGTAGACTTTTAGATCTAGAAAGTGATGATAAAGAAAAAAATCTGCCGCCGAACATTACATATCCGGGTAGCACCAAAATTGTTCCCATCATCCACATTAGAGAGAAGGAAGAAATAGAAGATACTACTCAAGATGCCCAACTCTTAGGTATAAACAAGTGAATGAAGCTGGATTTCTATAGTTAGCTCAAAATATGAGAATGCTATATTTTCTTCTAACTTATTACTAATGTTACAATGGGCTAATTTAATCATTTTTTTCTGGGACTCAATGTATTCACATATAAAATGAGGAGCTCTGAGGTTTCTTCTAGCCTGAAGTATATGAGTTTATGTGGTCTTTTGTTCTTTCCATTCAATTTTCACTTTTACAAACTAGGAGTTATCTTTGAGTCCTCGCTATTTGTTTCCCCAATATATAACTTGATTTTGCCTCTGCATTGCATCTCATATATTCAACTTTCTCTCATCTTACAGTGCCACAATTCTAGTTCAGGCCATTCTCATCTCACACTTGGAGTACTGCAATAGCCTGCTTCTGTACCTACTTGCCTCTGGGCTCTCTCCCCTCCAATCCTTCCTCTACTCACCCATCAAAATGACTTCCCCAAAGTACAGATCTGACCATGTCACTACTCTATTCAATAAATTCCAATGGTTTCCTACCATCTCCAGAATCAAAATGCTCTGTTTGGCATTCAATGCCCTTTGAAATAATATTCTACCTTTCTAGTCTTCCTGTACTCCCCATCACATATTCTTCAATCTAGTGGCACGGTTCTCCTGATTATTCCATGAGCAAACCACTCCATTTCTTGGCTCTTGGCATTTTCTCTAGTTGTCCCTGATACATGTAAGGTTCTCTCTCTTCAACAATGCCTATTATCTTCTATGGCTCCCATTAAGACCCAATTAAATTCTCTTATTTTTCAGTAAGTCTTTCTCAACCCTCTTAACTCTAGTGCCTTTTCTCTGTTAACTATTTACTATTTTTCCTATCTATTGATTATGTTGTATATATTAATTTGAATATACTCTCCCCCCCCCATTTAAATTGTAGGATCCTCAATTCTGGAGTGAAGATGGTGGACTAAGCTGAAACTCACTGTAACTCTTCCATATTCACCTCCAAAAACCATAAAACAGCATCACAAAATAAATCCTGGAACATCAGAACCAGCAAAAAGACAGGGTGAGATATTTTTTGGCCCAAGAAACTTCAGAAATTGGCAGGAAAGGTCAATCTGACTTGGGTAAAAGGGGAGCAAAGTCAAGGACAGGAAGCATCCCAGCAAACAAGCAGCAAGCTCCACTTCAGTAAACCAGCAGGAGATTCCGAGCCCCAGTGCAGTGGGACAGGCATACACCAACACCAGGACCCCTCACAAACCTCAACATAGCCAGTGGAACAGGCAGACTCCAGCTCAGAGAACTGCTTCAGCATAGCCCCAGGCAAACAGAAAGCCATGCAGGGACACACCACAATGTACTTTCCACAGGGAAACATAGAAACACCCCACAGGTTTCAGCACACAGCAGACACTAGCAATGTTATCACTACTCACACCAAAAAAGCTGTCAGACCCTTATGGCCTCTAGCAGTGCCAGTCACCCCTACCACACCCCCTCAGCACAGCACCAGAAACAAGGATCCCATGTGGACCTCAGGGCAACATCAGTGCAGCACCAAGTAAACAGCCATGGTCTGTAGCACCTGGCACAAGAAACCTGAGACACCTCTTCTACCCCAGGAACAGAGCTCAAATTTGAAAGAAAGGGAAATGGCTAAAAAAGATGAGCAAAAATAACAAAAAAATGAATCTGGCCATACAAAGTTATACTGGTGACAGGGAAGACCAAGACACAAACTGAAAAGAGGACAATAGTGTCAAAATACCTATGGGCAAAGCCCCAAACAAAAGTGGGAAGTGGTTACAAGTCCAGAAAAAAACTCATGGGAGAACTCAAAAAAATTTTAAAAAAGCTCAAAAATCATATTAGAGAAGTAGAAGAAAAATTGGTGAAATAAATTAGAATGATACAAGAAAATTGTGAAAAAAAGAGTCAACAGCTTGGGAAAAGAAAACAACTACTTGAAAGATGGAATTGGCCAAATGGAAAAGGAAATCCAAAAGCTAAGGATAATAACTACTTAAAAGTTAGAATTGGACAAGTGGAAGCTAATGTCTCTATGAGACATCAAAAATGAATCAAACAAATTCAAAAGAATGAAACAAAGAGAAGAAAATACAAAATACCTCACTGGAATAACAACAGATGCGTTAGAATCCTTGGAGTACCTGAAAGTCATAATCAAAAGGAGGACCTGAACAGCATCTTTCAAGAAATTGGCAAGGAAAAACTGCTTCGATATCCTGGAACCACAGTGCAAAATAGCCATTGAAAGAATTCGCTGTTCACCTCAGGAAATAGATCCCAAAATAAAAATTTCAAGGAACATTGTAGCCAAATTACAGAACTCTGAGGTCAAGGAAAAATCCTTCAAGTAGCCAGAAAGAAACAACTGAAATATCATGGAGCCACAGTCAGGATTACACAGAATTTAGCAGCTGCAACATTAAAGATTGGAGGTCATGGTACATGATATTTTGTAAGGCAAAGGAGCTAGTACAATAACCAAGAATCACCTACCTGGTGAAATCAAGCATAATACTTCAAGGGAAAAATCATCATTCAATGAAAGGAAAGGATTTCAAGCTTTCATAAGAGGACCAGGATTGAACAAAATATTTGATCTCCAATATAAACACCCAAAACAAGCCTAAAAAGGGGAAAAAAGGGGAGGAAAGAAAGTGTAAGGGATTCAATGGAGCTGAACTGTTTACATCCCTTCATAAGAGGATGATACTTGTAATTCCTAAAAATTGAACCACTAATAGTACAGCTAGAAGGAATATACATAGACAGTGTGCATAAGTGTAGGGTGAATTTGAGTGAATAACATAAAAAATAAGGAATAAGAAAGAGGAGTACACTGGGTGAAGAAGAAATGGAGAGGTAGAATGTAGTATATTATTTCACATGGAAAAGCTATTTTAGCGGAGGGAAAGATGGGAGAATAAGTGATGGGCACTATTAATAATATAAACAGTCAGTTGAAAATAGAAATGTATCTTACTCAACAGGAAAGTAGGAGAGGAGGAGATTAAGTAAATGTGGAAGAACTAACAGAAGAGAGGCAGACCCAGGAATACACAGACACATACTATCTCCATCTATGTTTGTCTATCTATCTATCTATCTATCTATCTATCTATCTATCTATCTATCTATGTATTTATATATCTATCCAACTTTACATACACATATATACATACATACATACACACATAGGCACATACATGCATATATATATACACACAGAAACACACATACAAGTATGTACATATTATGTATGTGTATACTTGTATAATTGTATGTGTATATGTATGTATATGTGTTTATACATATACATGCCATTTCCTTCTCCAGCTCATTTTACAAATGAGGAAACTGAGACAAAGAGGGTTAAGGGAACCCTATGAGGGTTGCCTCATAGGGAAGAAATATACATAGCACCAAAGACCACTAAGACAGTCATTAAATTTAGCCATATTGGTGCTAAATGGCTTATATTTGAGGACAGTCTTATGGCATGGCAAATGAGCCACTCAGATTAAGAACGAGGATAGAGTCTCATTACCGAAGAAATACATACATCTCTCTCTCATCTGTTTGCATTTGTCTCATTAATTAGATTGTAAAATCCTTGAACAGAGGGACTTTCTTTTGCATCTTTTTTTGTATCCTCAGTGCTTTGCACTGTGCCTATCATACAGTAGCTTAATAAATATTTATTGATTGATTGATGACAAAGAATGGAATAGAAAATGTAGTCATGATGGACATGAATTTTTTTGAATATGTTTAGTTATGTGGAGATGAATAAATGTCAACAATAAGGATAGAAGGAAAGGTAGTGTAAATGGATAGGATGGACCTTAAAAGAAAAAAAAAAGTGATTTCAGTCCATGATAAAGAAATCCTGAAGATGTGACTCTAGAAAACTAATAATCACCCATTTCTTCCTCCATTTCAAAAAGATATAGTCAGTAAAAGGCATGCACCCAAATAGAGGGTAGATCAAGGCAAGGAATATTCTAAAGGTTAAATTAAGTCTCAGGCATAATGACACAGTTACAAATATTATTTCATGACACAAAAAATTTACAATATGTAAGTTTAGAATACAGTGCAAAAGCTAACAAAAGGGTCATCATAGTAGGCAATGACAGTTGAAATTCTAAGGATGATAAGAATAAAGATGGAATTTAGAAAGACATACTAACAGTATTCATCATGTCATTCTTTCAATGAACCTTCACATACTGACTTTATGCCAGACACTTATCTAAGCTTTGAGGATGCAATGAAAAACAAAACTGGTCTCTGTCCTCAGATTACATTTTAATGGGTCAACAACATACACACACACGTGTGTGTGTGTGTGTGTGTGTATTCAAAACATATGAGATAAGTGCACAGTAGAAGAAAATTAACATTAAAAAGGATTTCAGGGGAGCCAACATGGCAGAATAAAAAGGTAGTTGCTCTCATCTTCCCCTATCATCCTCTGAAAACCCAGAAAATATCACCCCAGAAAAAACCCTGGAACAGCTGAACCAGAAGAAAAACCGGGTGCAGCAGTGCAGTAGCCCAGGTAGCTAGAGGGATTA